AAGGTCATTGGACTATTGACACACTTGGGCCCCACAGTTTCTTGTCTGCGCTGACCTTTTGTGGGATCGGGGTACTGAGCTTTTTGTAGCTATTTGTGTGGAATTTGTATCATAAAGTGAGGTAATAGTTTTAATTCACGGCGTCGGGGTACTGAGCTTTTTGTGTTGTATTTCTGTTAACACGATCGGAGTAGGGTAGTGTTACATGTTTGATGTGAGATGTCATGGTACTGAGATTTGCTGATGATGTTTTCATGAAGTGATGCATCAGGTCACCAGCTTTGCTTCGCAACGTCGGCTCATGGAGAATGCTGATGAAAGGCTTCGACAGCCCGAGCAAGGAGGTCGCTTTGAAACTGCATGCGTGGTGTGTGCTCGCAGGTTTTGGCGGGAGCAGCTGAAGATGTTAATCTTATTCCAAGATCCGGCTGGCAGCACCGAGATGGAGAACGGTGCGGTGGATGTGATTCCGTGTGGTCAACAGGAACGCTTGTGTCGAATTCTTGGAGTTGAAAGATACAGTCGAAGATGGCCGAAGATCCCTTTGGAGGCTCTGCATGCTTCGGCTGTTGAACATCCATACTGCAAGGGGGAGCATTTGCTCTTACACAAGCGTCGGATGCCGGTGGACTTGAAGGACCCTTACCACTGACTGCACGGGTTTGTTGCTTTCATTAAGGGATCACGGTACCAACTTGTTTGTAGCTAATTGTATGAATTTGTGCTTCAGTATACAATGAGCTAAGATTTTCTGTTCACGGCATCGGATTACTCGATTTTTTTTGGGTGAAGTTCTAGTAATATGTTCGGATGTCACTGCAATTGCAGGATCCTTGCCTGGTGTGCAGTGACTGCAAGGGCTCGTTGATGTCATCTAGTCTGACGTTGCCTCGGCACAGCTTGGCCAATGACCTTTGGATGGGCGAGCAACTGTCCGCATTGCGTGGCCTGGCCTCGGCCACGAAGCGACTTTTGCCGATGACACGGGCGTGCATGCAGGTTGTGGTATTGCAGCCCGGGCATTTGTCGCGTGAGGAACGTCAGCATGGCTTTGTAGGGAATTCGATTTTTCTCCCGCAAGCAAAGCCGTCTTCAGTGCTGACCACGCTCCCTCCAAAAGATGTTGATATGCAAGATGCAGTTTTGTTCCCGAGAGCGCCTGCGAAGGGTTCTTCGTAAAAAAGCAGCCGTTATACTAGATCTTCACACCTTCACACCTGCAGATCTAGATCTTCACACCTTCACACCTGCAGATCTAGATCTTCACACTCTCACATCTACCGATCTACATCTTCACACCTTCACATCTGCTGATCTACATCTTCACACCTTCACACCTGCAGATCTAGTTTTTTGACACCCTCACATCTGCAGATCTAGTTTTTTGACACCCTCACATCTGCAGATCTAGATCTTCACATCCTCACACCTGCAGATCTAGATCTTCACACCCTCACATCTGCAGATCTAGATCTTCACACACTCACACCTGCAGATCTAGATCTTCACATCCTCACACCTGCAGATCTAGATCTTCACACCCTCACACCTGCAGATCTAGATCTTCACACCTTCACACCTGCAGATCTAGATCTTCACACCTTCACACCTGCAGATCTAGATCTTCACACCCTCACATCTGCAGATCTACATCATCACACCTTCACACCTGCAGATCTACATCATCACACCTTCACACCTGCAGATCTAGATCTTCACACCCTCACACCTGCAGATCTAGATCTTCACACCTTCACATCTGCAGATCTCCCCTCGCTCTTCTTCTATTCTCTCTTAAGGCGGGGGCGGTGCCGCCAGAGTGCCACGAAACGCAACCCTTTCGCACGAAATGGACATTGGACGTCCAAAACCTAGGTAAAATTGCGATTTTGATGCGTCGCGCGCAACCCTTTCGCACGAAATGGACGTTGGACCTGAAAAACTGAGGAAAAACTGCAACTTTTATTGGTCGCGCGCAACCCTTTCGCACGAAATGGACGTTGGATGTCAAAAACTGAGGAAAAATTGCAACTTTTATTGGTCGCGCGCAACCCTTTCGCACGAAATGGACGTTGGACGTCAAAAACTGAGGAAAAATTTTGCGTCCCGCGCAACCCTTTCGCACGAAATGGACGTTGGACGTCAAAAACTGAGGAAAAATTGCGTTTGCAACCCTTTCGCACGAAATGGACGTTGGACGTCAAAAACTGAAGAAAAATTGCAACTTTGAGGTGTCCCGCGCAACCCTTACGCACGAAATGGACGTTGGACGTCAAAAACTGAAGAAAAATTGCGACTTTGAGGTGTCAATCGCAACCCTTACGCACGAAATGGACGTTGGACGTCAAAAACTGAAGAAAAATTGCGACTTTGAGGTGTCAATCGCAACCCTTTCGCACGAAACGGACGTTGGACGTCAAAAACTGAGGAAAATTGCGATTTTACTTGGTCAATCGTAACCCTTTCGCACGAAATGGACGTTGGGCGTCAAAAACTGAGGAAAAATTGCGTTTGTGTGTGAAAGCGTCTGTGCGTGTGTAAAAAGCATCTGCGTGCAAAAGCGTCTGTGTGTAAAAGCGTTCGTGTGTCAACGCGTCTGTGTGTAAAAGCGTTTGTGTGTGAAAGCGTGTAAAAGCGTTTGTGTGTGAAAGCTGGTAAAAGCTGGTTGGCCGGTTGTTTTGAAGAAAATGTGTCATTGGAAGGAGGCAGACACCACCATCTGTATTTGCTGTGGTGCCAACCAAGAACCCGGCGATCCAAACGAGTCAGACGATAGCTGGACATCTCAGCAAGTCTCTGCTGGCTGGGCAAAGGTCATGACCGTGACAATACCACACTTTCGTCATCATCATATGAAATATATCAAAAAAACAGTCAGAAGCATAGAAAATGTTTGGGGGACAATGGCAGCCGAGAGATGTTACATCTGCGGGCACTGCAACGACTGCGTTGTGAATCTCGAGTATGAGCATCCTGCTGACTGGCTGGAAGATCTTTCTGTGTTCACAGAGATGCTGGAACTTAGGTCGTGTCCGTGGAGGTGCCCAGATAAAGATCGACCGCAGTAGCCGGATTGCTGCAGTAGTAAAAGCGGCAAACATGCCACATCTGCAGCATCATGGTACCGACCTTTGCTTGGAAGCAGCTTGTGGGAGCTGGAAGGCTTGCATACCGAGTGGCACATGGAACTGAGCGCAACTGGCGCAAATTAATCTGTAGCAGTGTTCGTCTGGAGAGACTGTTCGTGACGAACATGCAAAACCAGTAGCCAACTGTTGTTTGTCTGTAAAGATTTTTTTTTTCCATCCTGTAGGGACATCGGAGAAATGCAGTGAAACAGGTGTCATCCTTGCCATCATGATATCGAACTTGCTATTGTGGAATCATTCACAGCATTCTTGCACGGACTTCTAGATTCTCTTGGATGCCATGGTACGGAGCCTTTGTTTGCCCACCTGTGTTGGCAACTGAGGTCATCCACGGCATCATGGTGCCGAGCTTATTTTGTATCTCAAAGAGCGGATGCCTTGCATTGGATTGTGCGTTGATCATGGTACTGAGCCTGGTCTTGTGCACTTTTGCGATTTTTTAGCATTTCCATTGCAACTATGTTTGCGCACCTTTGTTTGCAACTGAGGTCACCCAGTGGTGCCGCGCTTTGTGAGCGTCTCTGTGTAAAAGTCTCTGTGGAAGCGTCTGTGTGTAAAAGTGTTTGTGTGTAAAAGCGTCTGTGTGTAAAAGGGTCTGTGTGGAAAAGCGTCTGTGTGTAAAAGTGTCTGAGTGTAAAAGCGTCTGTGTGTAAAAGCGCCTGTATGTAAAAGTGTTTGCGTGTAAAAGCGTCCGTGTGTAAAAGCGTATGTGTGTAAAAGTGTTTGTGTGTAAAAGCGTCTGTGTGTGAAAGGGTCCGTGTGGAAAAGCGTCTGTGTCTGTGTGCAAAAGCATCTGTGTGTAAAAGCGTTTGTGTGTGAAAGTGTGTGTGCGTCTGTAAAAAGGCATCTGCATGTAAAAGCGTGTGTGTGTAAAAGAGTCTGTGTATAAAAGCGTCTGTGTGTTAAAGTGTTTTCGTGTAAAAGTCTCTGTGTGGAAATGCGTCTGTGTGTGTGTGCATGAAAAACGTCTCTGTGTGAAAGCGTCTGTGTGTAAAAGTGTTTATGTGTAAAAGATTCTGTGTGTAAAAGTGTCTCTGTATAAAAGCGTCGCGTTTCTTCGCGTTCACGGAATGATGGTGCCGCGCCTTTTTCCGCAATGTGTGTGGGAATTACCATAATAAAATGAGATAGCACATGTCATTCGCAGACTCATGGCACTGAGCCTCCTGTGCACTTTTGTTGCTCACATTACATTTCTTCATGTTTTCTTTCTACCCCCCCCTTTCATTCTCTCTCTCTATCTCTTGCTTTCTCTTTCTCTCTCTCTCTCTCTCTTTCTCTCTCTCTCTCTTTATCTCTGCCCCCTCTTTCTCTCTGTGGTTGCAAGACACATGTCATCTGATGCCCTCTACCAAATATTCTCTTCTTGATCAATCTTACTTTTTCACACCATATCTTTCACACTATTCACCGACTATCTTTTACGACTACCATCCTCAGAGCTGCTTGATAAACATCTTTTTCGCTCTCGGGCCAACCGTCGTCTAGTTTGATTTCAAACCAGTTTTTTGATTTCAGAGGGGATTTTCTGTTGCCAGCCTAGGTCACTTTAAAGGCAACAGCTCTCATGAATTTCGATCCATACCATATTGATCACCGAACTTCAATTCGAGCCTGGATCAGTGCCCATGTTGGATGGTCCTCTCGTGTCCTCTGGAAGCTGAAGTGAAAAATGACACCCCTGGGCCCCTGGGCTCATCCGGAAAAGCTTGAACAAATCATCCAAGTTAGCTCCCCATATGAAAATATAGATGAATGTGGCAAACCCTAAAGCCTAAAGCCTCTCCCAGATCATCATTTTTATGGGTGGCATATTGACCATCAATGAGATCATCCGCCTGTCGGCCTCAGGAGTTGGAAACCAAAGTCACCGATATGATGGAGCTGTCTCACGAGGTTCCAGAGAAGTGGAGTTTCATGAACAAAAAGGCCCGTGGCGGTCTCTGAAGTCCAAATTTGGAGCTTTTTGGAGTTTATGTAGGATGTACTGCTATAGTGTACAGATTATGTACAGTATGTGAGTATATGATAGTATATGTATATATCTAAATACATGGATATGTTATGATATATTATATATATGCAAGTAGTACCCGTGCGAGCCGGGGGCGGAGGTGTCAAAGATGAAAGAATGTGTGCAGGACCCCCTCCCCTGTGCGTTGATGAAACAAACTCTTGACATCTTTCTCTCGCATGACATCTCTTTTTCTTAGCAGTCTCTTGCTCTTGACATCTCTTTCTCTTGTCACCTCTTTTTTTGATGTCTCCTTCTCATGTCAGCTGTTTCTCTTGACATCTCTTTCTCTTGTCACCTCTTTAATCGAACATCTCTTTCTCTTGCCAGCTCTTCTCTAGGCATCTCTTTCTTCTTTTTCCCCACCTGCCAGGTGAGGGTCGTTAGATTTTATCAGAGCTGTTCTCCTCCTCCTCCGCCTCCTCCGCCTCCTCTGCCTCCTCCGCCTCCTCACCCGCCGCCTCCTCCTCGCAGTCCAGATCCCAGTGGGCACAGCCGGACCTCCACCGCGAGCTCCAGATCCCAGTGGGCACAGCGAGCTCCAGATCCCAGTGGGCACTGCCGGACCTCAACCGCGACTTCCAGGTCGCAGTGGGCACTGCCGGACCTCAACTTCCAGATCGCAGCGGGCACTGCCGGACCTCAACCGCGACTTCCAGATCGCAGTGGGCACTGCCGGACCTCAACGGGAAGAATGTGAGAAAAGATGTCAGATAGAATGTCAGAAGATATGACAGATAGAATGCCAGAAAGAATGTCAGAAAGAATGTCAGAAGATATGCCAGACAGAATGTCAGAAGATATGCCAGACAGAATGTCAGAAGATATGCCAGAAAGAATGTCAGAAGATATGTCAGATAGAATGTCAGAAGATATGCCAGATAGAATGCCATGAGATATGCCAGACGATATGTCAGATAGAATGCCAGAAGATTTGCCAGATAGAATGCCAGAAAATATGCCAGAAGATATGCCAGATAGATATGCCAGAAGATATGCCAGAAGATATGCCAGACAGAATGCCAGATAGAATGCCAAATAATATGCCAGAAGATATGCCAGATAGAATGTCAGATACAATGCCAGAAGATTTGCCAGATAGAATGCCAGAATCTTTGCCAGAAGATATGCCAGATAGATATGCCAGAAGATATGCCAGAAGATATGCCAGATAGAATGCCAGATAGAATGCCAGATAGAATGCCAGATAGAATGCCAGAAGATATGTCAGAATATATGCCAGAAGATATGCCAAATAGAATGCCAGAAGATATGTCAGATAGAATGCCAGAAGATATGCCAGATAGAATGCCAGAAGATTTGCCAGATGGAATGCCAGAAGATATGCCAGAAGATTTGCCAGAACATATGCCAGAAGATATGCCAGATAGAATGCCAAATAGAATGTCAGAAGATATGTCAGATAGAACGCTAGAAGATTTGCCAGTAAGAAAATGTATAAATGTCATGGTGGGGATCACACGAAGTAAAGTAATTTTAGTCATCGCCTGTTTCTGTCATCACTTTCTCTTGTCTCCCCTGGCTCTTAACATCTTTTCTTCTTGACATCCCATTCTCTTCGCATCTCTTTCTTTTGACATCTTCCTCTGCTTTGCTGCTTGCCACGCTGTTTCTTCTACACTTCTCTAGCCTACTCTACTCTTTTTTGCTTTCTCACGGCTTCCTGCCCCCACAAAATCACCACGATCGCTCCTTTTGGGACGCCATGTGAAAGCATCGCTCTCTTGTGCTACGCCGTCTGCAACGACGAGCATGGTCACTAATCGGCCGTTACGACTTCATTCAATCGATTCAGAATCCAATGCAATTCATCGATGGTTCGGCTTATGACCACAATTCGACTGCGTGGAGCAATCGCTGGATTGCAAAACACATTAACACCAGCGCACATACAGACTTTGAATTCATCTTGATGCAGCCACGCCAATACGAACTACAAGCACCGAGTTGCGAAAGAGCGTAGAACTACCTATGCAGATGCAACACGAGCAACGTTGACGCAGCCACTCCAATGCAGTGCAAGCAGGGAGTTGCAAAACCGAATAGAACCACGCAGGCAGCAGCAAACAACGAGCAACATTGATGCAGCCACTGCGATGCGAAGTGCAAGCAGTGAGCTGCAAACGACCATAGAACCGCGTACAATGAAAACCCATGAAAACCACCGTTCCAATGCTTTCTCTCCTCTCTCCTCTCTCCTCTTCTCTCCTCTCATCTCTTCTGTTCTGTTTCTCTCTCAAAGTTCCTTTGATAACTGTGTGGAAACTGTAAAAGTATGAACATACACAATATATATATATATATACACACATACATACATACATACACACATACACACATACATACATACATACATACATACATACATACATACATACATACTTACACATATGCGTACATGCATGAATATTATGAGATATAATGACATAGATATATCTGAATAAATTAATGAATAGATATATAAACATATCGATGCTTGGGCCCTTGGATTGAAACACATCCACTGTGACGAACGGCGGTTTGTTCAAACGAAGTGTAGAGGCTGTCTTCTCTGACACGGCACTTTTACAATCGATGTCTGAACATGTTTTTCCCACAAAACCACATGGTACCCGTGGGTAGACTGCAACTTTCACCAAGAGGTTTGATTCGGCAACCACCCCAGACCATCAGCACCTGTGGTAGCAATACTGCAGTGTCAGGGCAAAGTCGTGAAGAGAAAGACCGTGGTTGTCAAAAAGAAGGATCCAAAGTCCTGCCACTTTGACAGATGCGTCGTGTTGAGACTCGGTGGACCGCGTCCAGTGGTCCAGTGCGGTCGATTTTTTTGTGTCAAGGGGTGCAGCCATGCCCAGTCCAAATTAATTAAAATGTTCTAAATTTAGAACACTATTAGAACACAGTCAATTTGGATCATGAAGGAATTACCTAGCCACTCCAAGTTGATCATTCAACTTTCATCAACTTGATGATCAATCAGAAACAGTGCTAGTTGAGGTGTCATCTCAGTAGAGCAATGCCCCAAATTCCTTCTGGTTGATGTTTATACATGAGGTGATATTTGTCAAGGGCGCAGTACTGGGAACTGGGAACTCTTATTCTGGATCCATTGATCCATTGCGCAAAACGTGGAAAATCGCTGGCGTCCGAGGTCACCTTCCAACACGCTCCCAGGCGGCGCCCCCCGACACGCTAAGCGGCATGTTGCAACTACAGATTGATAAGAGGCATCTATAGGCATGATTTATGGCGATCATAAATATAGTTAGATATAGTTAGATATAGTTAGATGGGGTAATAGATTGTAACGAACAAACCTTTTTTGGCTGAATTCTCGCATTTCGGGCAACAGGCGTACTCCCTGGCTGCGTACAAAATGGGCCTTGGATTAAACTTTGCCTGCAAAGCGGAGGACCAAGGGGGTCACTTGGATATGACCCAGGAATGGGTTGGTGTAATAGTAAATTGGTCCATCTATCTATCGATCTGCCTGTCTGTGTCTGTCTGTCTGTCTGTCTATCTATGTAATGCAATGTAGTGTAATGTAATTAATGTTAATGTAATGTAGTGTAGTGTAGCGTAGTGTAATGCAATGTAATGTATGTATATTTGTATCTATGTATAATTGTATCTATGTATAGTTGTATCTATGTATCTATGTATCTATCTATCTAATCTAATCTAATCTAAATCTAATCTAAATCTAATCTAATCTAATCTATTCTAATCTAATGTAATCTATCTAATCTTATCTATTCTTAGTCAATCTTCTCTAATCTCATCTCAATCGAATCCAATCTAACCTAATGTAACCTAATCTAACCAAACCTGATCTAATCAACTCCAATATAATTTATCTATATTTTTTGAAGCCTCGAAGAATGCAATCATATGTAGTTGAGTATATGCATATGTATATATATATATACATGTACGTATATTTTTTTTTATACAATTACGTGATGTATATATATATATATTCTGGGTTTATATCATAAAATGGATGCATTGAGCATGATGAAACACGGATACCACCTACACATCCGTCTGTCCCCAGCCGCTGAGCAGTGCAAGGGTTCTGCCGGGGAAAACCCCAAAATCGATGAGTCCGAACAGTGCGAACCTCATTTCTACTGATTCTACTGTTATTTGATGGCTAGTGTTGGTGCTTTTTTATTACGCCATGTTCAGACAAAGCCAAAGATCAAAGGACGACACGAGCATTTCATGTGGCTTTGATTGGCAACGGATCCGGGGTGGAAAGGACCCTTGTGAGGAAATCTTTCCTTTTCATGTTCACTGCAAACTGTAATCATTGGCTGCGAGTCAACTTTATGTAACCCCAAGTTGCGGATGGTTTAATAAAGTGTAATACCAAGATATACCAAGACTAACCAGATGTGTAGTGCCTAAACACCACATTTCGACCCATACTTATTTCTAAGTGAGTTGGTTTACCTTGGGTCAAAGTGTTGGTTTACCTTGGTGGAACCATCAAGGAACCAAAAAGGTGAATGATTGCCACAAAGGGGGAACATCAGCTATATTGAACCAGTTTTATTCGGGGGAGCAACCCTGATTGACAGTGAAAGCAACTCTAGTTACCCAACAAGATTGCTCATGTTTAACCATCATGGTTTTCATCATGTTTTCATGATGTTTTCCATGGTTTTTGATCATTTCCCCGCTGTTTTTATCAAAAACTGTGGCTTCAAAACACCCCCTCTTTGGAGGATACCGTGGTCATCCCTGAAGCGCCACTCTCGGAGGCAGGGATTGGGATGGGATCCGTCCCAACCTCCCCCGTAGAAAGACGGGTTTTGTATTGAATCTATTCACATTAAATTAGTTAGCTAATACACAATACGAAGTCATTTTAGGGTCATTTTTTGGACGGTATTAATTTAGTATTGGGATGGGATTAGCTAACTGTGGAAATGTTACCCCAATACTATATACCCCGGATTGCCCCCACACACACTGGGGGATGACAACTACAAGTTTGAGAAAAGGAATGACATGACCAGCATGGAGGAATATGACCATTTTTTGATGGGGATATCCGGGATATCACCTAGTTGCCTTTTTTTGGATATTATCAGGGCCCAACTAAAAATCAGCAGTAAACGAATGCAACCTAGGGGGTAGAATGTAGAAAAGCAACAACAATTATGTTGGTGATATGGGTTATTTATATAAGTATAAACTATAAACAGTGGGCCTTCGATATGTGGATAAAATGGGATGGTACAACTAATCAACAACATATGATGTTTGAGTGTGTCTGAAGATCGGTCTACCGTCTACCCAAAATTCCAGCAGTTTATCATCACATTCCCTGCATGATAAATAAACTGTGGGATATAATGGAATATAGTGCGACCAACACTTTGATTTGGGTGTATCTGAAATTCCCATTTTTGGACAAGCCTGTTAACTTGTTAACCATCTACTTTTTGGGCACACCATTTTTCGTGATTCATACCCCTTTATGTACGCGGACAGACACACACACACACATATATATATACACATACATATTGATATAGATGTTAGGGTGTATTTTGTAGCAGCATGCAACAATGAATGTGGGTACAAAGCCTGGTTCAGCCATTTTCGAGTTTTAACCACAACAGCAAAGGGTATGGCACATAATCCTTGGAAGTGAACATACATTGGATTCAGAACACGTTCAATATGTTCCAGCAATCGTTCGATAAAGCAATGGCAATGACCAGTATCAGTCCTGACATTCTAAGTTGAGTGATGAGTGCATGCCTGCTGCAAGGTCAGAACACCGCGCGTGTATCAGTCCTTGGTTTGGGATCATTTATCCAGACGTCTGGCTTTTGTCTGAAACTAGGGTACCCCAAATCCTATAGTTTCTTATCATTTTCCATATGAACATCGTCATTTTAAGGTATACCATATTTTAAAGACCCAGATGTGGAGGAAAATAGCAACCCACTAATCACAGATGAAAGGGGATTGACTCTCGGCCAAACGGACGCACAAAGGCTACTGAATCATCCAATTGTTCGGGACCATGCGTTAAAAAACAGCAAAATGGGTGAGTGTTGTAGTGATCAAGTCTCAAAATATCGAGGTTCTACAATTCTGCTCGTGAGCGTTCCTGGTGATTATTATATATCGTAACTGTAACGTTGGCGGTGACATGTGCCCATTTCAGGTACATTCACTTTATGTATACTCCCCTATTTATAGCCAATCATCCAGTAGGAGCATTAAATTTTCCGAAGCCAACAAAATTGGGGGTTCCATGTCCTTTTTCGATACATTTTCCAACCTTTTCTTCGGGGAGTGGGTTCTCCGATGTCTGCTTCAGGATGAGGATGCTATGTCCAAGTGGGAGGACAATGGCAAGAGGCAACTGGGTCGCTTGGCCATGAAAGTTGGGCTGACCTGGTGAGCTATTTTGGAGCTATGGGGATTTTATATATGGGGATTTCTCATATTGGGCATATGATACTGATGATACTGAGATCATGGGAACATATTTGGGGGGGTACCATGGGGTACCCTACGTTCCGACAAAGCCACATGGCCATTTCACCAGAAAAGGCCTGGTACAAAGTCTTCATCTTTTTGTGGGATTGAATCATGAACATAGTGCGTGGGATGGTTGTTTGATGAGCTTTAGACTACTACTACTGTACGGTACTGTTTCATTTAGTTTGAGATTGATCACATTGATTAGCAAAGTCCCGAAACTCCAGTATGCTATATACCGCGTGTTTTGTGTTTCCATCCCTAAAGGACTCCATGTTGCTCATGGGGATGGCGTGCCCTGCCAAGGCTGTATCAGGACGACAGAAGAAGAAACCTTTTTGGAGTGGGGCCGCTCCGCAGGAAGAAATGACTTGGGGCTTGGGGCGGGTGAACATCATGAAGAGTTCAAAGCTGATTGCAACAGGTCTCCATGATGGTTATTTGCGTTCCTGGGATGATCCAAGGTTTATACGCCAAGCTAAAACTCATAGTTGAAACAAAGAACGGCAAACGTGGCTCGGCCGAGACTGCGGCAAATGGGTTTGGGGGAGCCCGGTGTGCGGTGGTGTAGAAGCCCTTGATGGACACCAACATCTAGGATGGATACCAAGAATTATGCAATTCAGAAATTCGGAAATCGACAGACGTAGGAAAATACAGTTTTTTTGTGTTTTTCCCCACCTGCCAGGTGAGGGTTGTTAGATTTTATCAGAGCTGTTCTCCTCCTCCTCCGCCTCCTCCTCCATCTCCTCCTCGTCCTCCTCCTCGCAGTCCAGATCCCAGTGGGCACAGCCGGACCTCCACCG